CATCAGTGTTTTTGATTTTGGTCATTCTTACAGGTGTAAGATGGAATCTCAGAGTTGTTTTGATTTGCATTTCTCTGATGACTAAGGATGTTGAACATTTCCTTAAGTGTCTTTCAGCCATTTTAGTTTCCTCTATTGAGAGTTCTCTGTTTAGGTCTGTATTTTTTTTTATTGGATTATGTGATCTTTTGGTATCCAATTTCTTGAGTTCTTTGTATATTTTGGAGATCAGACCTCTGTCTGATGTGGGGTTAGTGAAGATCTTTTCCCATTCTGTAGGCTGTCATTTTGTCTTGTTGACCTTGTCCTTTGCTTTACAGAAGTTTTTCAGTTTGAGGAGGTCATTTTATTGTTTCTCTCAGTGTCTGTGCTACTGGGGTCATATTTAGGAAGTGTTTTCCTGTGCCAATGCATTCAAGTGTACTTCCCACTTTGTCTTCTATAAGGTTCAATGTGGCTTGCTTTATGTTGAGGTCTTTGATCCATCTGGACTTGAGTTTTGTGCATGGTGATAGACAGTGTCTGTTTTCATTCTTCTGCATGTTGCTATCCAGTTATGCCAGCACCATAAATATGCTTTCTTTTTTCCATTTGAAATTTTTTTTTGCTTCTTTATCAAAAATCAGGTGTTCAAAGGTGTGTGGATTAATATCCGGGTCTTCTATTCTGTTCCACTGGTCCTCCTGTCTGTTTTTATGCCAATACCAGGCTGTTTTCAGTACTGTAGCTCTGTAGTAGAGTTTGAAGTCAGGGATAGTGAAACCTCCAGAAGGAGAACTGACATTCTTATCTTCCAGTACCCATTAGAGGGCCATGTCACACGGAGGCCAGTCAATCACTTGACTTCCCATCATGGAGGATACAGTGATTAACCTTTTCGGCAATGGAGTCCCATCTACATTTGGATTATATTCTTGTGACCAGGCTTCTTCTACATGTATCATCTGTGGGCTTACCGAGCAGTTGTTTCTCTGTCATATAACAGGATACACTATTGTTGTGTGACAAGACTTTCCCTGGGGAGACACAACACACGTCTACTCACCCCAAATAGGAAACCCACAACAGATCAAAGTATGGATACCACCAAAGTCCAACTTGGTGAACCAATGAGTTTTATTGGGGTTCATTACAGGAATACAGGGGAAAGGTTACTAACAGGGGCAGAAATGGCTCAAAGGTGACCACATGACCAAAGCCCACACTGGCACGGATGGCAGCTCACAAAGGTAGGGGCCTGGAGCACTGCACAGTCTACAGGCCTCACAGCTGGCTGGAGCGTGTCCTTCCCAGGAGAGCCTGTGGGTCTAAACCTCTTCCAGGGAGCTCGACTGGTTTCAGCTTCTTCTGGGTAACTTGTCCGTCTCAGAATACTCTTTGCAGTGTGGCTTGTCTGGAAATGACCCCCAGTGGTCTTTATTCCTTGTCTGAAAATGACCCCCGGTGGTCTTTATTGCTTGTCTGAAAGGGACCCCCAGTGGTATTTATTGCTTACTCTGGAAGGGAAGGGGGCCTAGTGAACTTCCTGAAGCTATTTTGTGTGGTTTACCTTCTATCTCAAGAAGCTTCCTTAAGAAATGGAATGTTTCAATCTCTAAGGAAACTGCTACACAACCACTATGGGAACTCAGTTGACATCAGAAAAAGAAGATCAATAGCTTGATATTGTGGAGTTTCACTGGTCCTAACTAGCATTCCAGCATAATATCATAAAGCTGTAGTAGATAATACACTGTGATATTGTTGTGGTCATCAAACATATCAAACATCGCCAAGAAAAAGCCAAAGGACAAATCATTTCAGTACAACCACATCAACCGCATGTATTTAGATTTGTTATTTGGCAATAGTAACTAAGACAAAAATGTGTAATTTACTTTCACATTTATGCCTATGAAATGTGTAAAATTACACATTTCTGTCTTAGTTACTATTGCTGTGGTAACGCATCATGACCAAGGCAACCTTTAGAAGAAAGCATTTGGCTGAGCCCTTACCCAGAGTTTCAGAGATTAGCCCATGACCGTCATGGTGGAGAATATGGTGGGAGGCAAGCAGCCATGGCTGAGATGCTCACGTCCTGATCTGCAGGCCGCAGGCAGACATGGACTTGGGCTGGGCCTGGTGTGGTCAAAGGGGAATGGGAAATGCAGATATTTTGTGATAGTTGTGGGGTTCCTCACAGGCACCAAAAAAAAAAAAAATCAACTCAAATGACTTAGATAACATAATCACATAATCACAAAATGTTTGTGCATGAGCTGTACACATGTTCTTGTATGTCTTAATTTTTTTACATTTCTTAGAATATCTAAGGCAATGTAAATGTTATGTTTTGCAGAGTTCACTGCATTGCACTTACATTCTGAGTTTATGTTTATTTAGGGATAAAACCTTGTGAAAGAGAAAGACACATCATAGTGTGGAATCAGATGCCTTAATGTCCACCCCAGAGCAGACTGTTATCTGGAATTCATAAACATCCGAACACTGAATTACATGTAAATGAACAAACTAATAGAGAAGTGGGTAAAACGTCTTAGTTAAGACTTTCTGAGAAAATAATGTCTGAAAGAATAGTGAATAAAGGGACCTGGCCAGCTCAAGTGTGGCGAGCTTGGCTCTGGCAGGCCTTGCCCTTCTCCCCATTCCCTCTGCCTTGCTAAAAACTGTTAGATTGCATTCCTAAAGCTAGCCACCAACGACGATTCCCTTACTTGGCCACTTCTTCCTGAAGCTGACTGCCAAAGTCCAGCAATCAAAAGTCTCCTTTGGTTTACCTAATTAATAGGACCAATTAAAATTAAACACCTCATCCTAACTTAGGATTTCCCCGTTACCTTTATAAAACACCATTTGCCTATGTGCCATGGCTCTCTCCCCTCTGTCCAGATGCAGTCCTTGTCCTTCTGGGATAAATATACCTTCCTCTTCTCCCTCATCTCCTGTCTCCTCTACCACAGCATCCTAGCCCATCCTAACACAGACCTCCCCTCTTTCTCTTCTTAAAAATCACACCAGCAAGGTCGTTTGCTGCTGTTTCCCTAACAGTCAGAAAGCAGCCACTTTAACTTTTCTTCCTGGCTTAATAAAGGATCTCTCCATGAAAGCAGGTGTTTGGGTGTGGTCTCTGCCCAATCCAGGGTCTGGAATGGAGGCCCTGCTGTGCACTGAGGTGCACTGAAAGGAGAGTCCCCTTCGATGAACATGTGTTGTTCAAACTCATTAATCTTTAGGAAAAAACACATCAGAAGCTCAATGTGATGACACTCGGTGCCTCTCCCGAGAAGAAAGAGCAGAAGAATGTAAGTGTTTCACTGATTGTTGGTTTTCTGTGGGTAGAAAGAGTCTTTGGGGAAACCCTTGTGGAAAACTGCTGAGAAAATGCACGCATCTTCATGGTTAGCCAGTAATTTCAGCCATATGTTTAATAGGAGACACATGCAAGAATATTCCTAGTTGTATCTGTCTACTTGAGGCAAGGAAAATGTGGCATAGTCGTAAGTGCTACAAAACCGAATGCTATCGATAGTAAATGAACGTCAACTAAAGGCAAAATACACAGGTGCATAAATGTTCATGGACAAAGGTGAAATTGAGGTAACTTATTGTGTCTGCCTTACTTGAGGTTTCTATTGCAGTGACACAATGTCATGACCAAATGCAACTTGGGAAGGAAAAGGTCGTATTCCATCTTATCACATCATCCTTGGAAGTCAGGCCAGGAGCTCAAGGCAGAAACCTGGAGCCAGGAATTGATATGGAGTGGAGGAGAAATGTTGCTTACTTGCTTGCTCTCCTGGCTTTCTCAGTTTCCTTTCTTACATGCCCAGAACCACTGGCCCAGGGTTGTGCTGAGCCTTCCCACCTCACCACTAATTAGGAAAACGCCTGTAGGTCAGTCTTACTGCATACAGGTCAGTCTTACGGAAGTGTTTTCTCAGTTGCGGCTCCATCTTCTAAGATAACTATAACTTGTGTCAATTCAACAAAAACCAACAAATAACAAGCCAGGACATCTATCTGACTGTGTGGAGAAACACACAAAACCAATTTGCTTTAAAGGGAGACCAGAAGTACTTGTTAGTGTGAAAAGAGACCAGAAGGGGGCACCAAAGAACCTCTTCAATCCCATAAGGTTCTGTTTGTTTGTTTGTTTGTTTGTTTGTTTGTTTGTTTTTTCCCAGAAAAATGTTCCTTAAATTCAGATCTTGATCTGCAGGTTCAGAACTGGCAGGTGCTGGGCTCGTGAGTGATGTGAGATTCCCCTCTGTATACTGTGAATACTATTGGTAAATAAAGAATCTGTCTTGAGCCCGAGATAGAGTAGAACAGAGCTAGGTGGGGAAAACTAAACTGAATGCTGGAAGAAAGGAGGTAGAGTCAGGGAGAAGCTATGGAGCTGCCACAGACATGCTGGAACTTTGCTGTTAAGCCACAACCTCGTGGCAATACACAAATCAATGGAGATAGCTTAATTTTTTAAAATTTACTTATTTATTATGTATACAATATTCTCAGTATTCTGTCTACATGTATGCCTGCAGGCCAGAAGAGGGCACCAGATCTCATTACAGATGGTTGAGAGCCACCATATGGTTGCTGGGAATTGAACTCAGGACTTTTGGAAGAGGAAGCAGTGCTCTTAACCACTGAACCATCTCTCCAGCCCGAGATGGGTTAATTTATAATATCAGAGTTAGCCAGAAATATGCTTAAGCTATTGGCCAGATTGTATCGCAAATAATATAGTGTCTGTGTAGTTATTTCAGGGCTGAGCCGCCGGGAAGAAACAAGTGGCCTCCTACAACACACGAGTCACAGAGTCATGGCATTCGGTGACAAGTCAGCAGGAATAGGGTTGGGACAGTCTGAACTGTTTTCTTTGCAAGGCAGAAAATAAAGGAGAAATAAAATTACCTGCAGACATGTTAGACAGTGAATTTGTGTTCCGGGTCCATCATATTCATACGACATAATGGACAGAACGACAACGCAGACATTTGGCATTTAATAGTTTATATTTACCCATTCCCGTGAGTCGAGCTGAGAAGGCAACTGAACCGCAATAACTAGCCAATAAGCACTGACGTAGCTTCAAAAACAAAACGAAAAAAGCCACCTAAGTTCTTCTGTCCCAGAAACTTCATAACAGGAGTGGTAGCACTTAGGGGCCAGTCCAGCTGCTGCATGGAGATCCTGTGCATTAACCAAAAGGCCTAAAGGGCCCCTTAATTTTAACATGTTTAGAAGTTTTTTTGTGGATTCGTATCCACTTCCCTTTCTCCTGTTCTAACCGTTCGATCTCCAGAGACAGCTTGTACACCTCCAGGGCCTTTTTCACATCATCTGGGCTTGGGAGGCACTGCAAGAGCTTCTTGCCTTCATTCACTTGTCTGCACTCTTCAGAGGCCTCCTACAGGTGATTTAAAGAAATAAATGGGGAAGGGTAAGGTCTGAGAGGGATTCCTGGCAGAAGTGAGGTTGATAGAATTGATGGACATAGAGAAAATCAGGACTTCGCATCCCTAGCAGGTGTTCCCATGCAGGCCACACCATGTGGAAGAGGTGTGTGTGTGTGTGTGTGTGTGTGTGTGTGTGTGTGTGTGCAAGTGCTTAGGACCTTCGATGCCCACCACCAGGTTGCTAGGACTATAAGCATATGCCATGGCACATGGCTCTTGAAAAGCAGAAAAGTATAGTTGAAGAAGAAAAGACACGGAGCTCCAAGGATCCAGAGCAGCCCCATAAGGAGAGGTGAGGGGGAGTCCTGCACACACCCAGGAAGCAGAGCAAATGTATACAGACCACAAACATGAAAAGTTATGGTCAGGGCACTAGGTCTAGGAAACCCTCAATCCTAAAGTTCTGGATCCAGTCATAGAGTAGAAAAATCTGCTCCTTCAAGCTCACCATGATGCTTCAAGGTTATAAGTGCATCTCTAGTAAACTGGGCATCCTGGTAGGTGCCAGGTGATACCATCCTAGTCTGGGACAGAACCTTGGGAAGAGACTGCTATATTTAAGGTTGACATCACGGGAGTTCCCTGAATTGCACCACTCACCGTCTTACAGCTGGGTATCCCAGGGTACCATGTTCTGTTTTCTGAACAAATGATGTTTGAGGAACCAACTAAGTCATATCCAGTGTCACATTGAATGGTGACGTTGTCCGTCTCAGCATAGTGCTCTTTCTCCACAGACAGGCTTCCATGCGTGATCACCGGTTTAGGGCACACACCTCTAGCAGAAACGTACCTTGAGCTTTCCTCTTTCAAGGAGATGACAAAATTGAATTAGACAACGAAAATAATGAGAAACTTTGTGTATACTTACATTTGGTTTCAGCAAAACTTACTGGTTTCATTATTAATTATAGTAGTCCTGATATCTATTGAGAAAAGTACTATGTATATTTAGATGCTAAATTTTTGCTGCCTTATAAATTTTACTATGCTTTTATGAACTAGTTTCTATTGTTATTAACATCTTACCAACAACAAAACTGAGAAAGTTAATCCTCTAAACCTCGTATACCTTAAGTGTTATAACCTATGCTTGCATTCCTTCCCCACAGCCTTGATCTAATGCATGATGCTAAGGATGTACTTTTCCGTTGTCCTCATCTTTTAATGCTGCAGGGTTCAACAGAAACAGCGACTTTTGGTTGCTAGGAAAATGATGAAGGAACCAAGGACACTGAAGAGGAAGTCACGTTCTTACCTCATCTTCATTCTGCATCAGCTCATCAATCAGGAGCATCATCAGTCCACAGACACAGAAGGGCCATGGACAGATCGTGGCTATCATAATATTTCAGTGGGAATTTGCAACACTTTATGAGCTAGGTATTAACCCTTGAAATTCCTCTTTCTTGAATACTTGGAAAGAAATGAAGGTTGTTGTGGAAAGCTTGCTTGAGGCACAAATAGATTCTTAGACCAAAGTCATCAAGTCTAGCCTCTAAGTGTCTAGGAAGACATAGAACAGCTGAACAGTAGAGGCTGCTTCCAGCAATGAGGCTTACCTGTGCTCTTAAGGCTCAGGAAGGAAAACTGGTGTTCATTTTTAACATTCTTTTTGCCAAGTTTTTTAAGTTTACTATTCACATCTTAGATGTCATTAAATAAATAGAGAAAAGGTAAGATTTAGGTAGTTCTTGACCGACAGAAGATATTGTTGTTCTTACTTTGTAATTTTGTCTTCCCCGCATGGCTAGTGGGCCTGGTGTAACATTGAGGAGGCAAAGGTCCCCAATGAAAGACATCAAGAAAGTTTACTGGTCTCTACTTAGACTCACTCACACATAAATACACAAAAGAACAAGTTGAAGTCACACTACAAGCACACACAGAAATTGGTTCCCTGAGCCTGTTAACCCACAGCATTTTTTTCTAGTTCTAGCCATTTAACTATGAATTTCATCTCTCTTTACAGCCAAATAAAATTTCTTTGTGTATAAGTAGCACATTTTTACTATCCACCCATTGGTGGTCTTTGGGATTCAATAAATGTGGATGTACAAGTATCTCTGTGGTAAGATATGGACTCCTTTGAGGGTGTGCTCAGAGGTGGTTTAGCTGGGTCATATATTAGTTCTATTTGGTTTGCCAAGACAGGGTTTCTCTGTAGCTTTGGATTCTGTCCTGGAACTCGCTCTGTTGACCAGGCTGTCCTCAAACTCACAGAGATCTGCCTGCCTCTGCCTCCCAAGTTCTGGGACTACAGTCAAGCTCTGCCCCCAACCTATTTAATTTTTAGGAAGCTCCATCCTGCCATGGTGACGGCACTAGTCTAGACTACTAATAGGAAACAAGGTTTCCTCTTTCTCTACAACCTCATGCATTGCTTTTGTGGTTTCTTGCAGATAGCCGTTCTGATGGGTGAGACCAAATATCAAAACACTCTTCACTTGTATTTCCCTGATGGCTATGCTGAACATGTATTTGAAATATATATTGGCCATTTGTATTTTTCTTCTGAGAGCTGTCTGTTCAGCTCATTGCCTATTTGCTGAATGGAAGTTTGTTTTATCAGTGTTTAATTTTTGTAGCTTTTTAAAAAAAAAATCTCTAGATTAACCCTTTCTCTGACGTGTAGCTGGAAAGGCCTTTCTACCATTTTCTTTGCTGTCTGCTTGCTTGCTGATAGTTTCCTTCACTGATCGGAGGCCTTGTACCTTCACGTAACCCTATTTGCCAACAACTGTGGATATTTCTGGCAGAATTCTATTGTCTGTATTCTGAAATGATTTCACCATGCTTTTCTATAATTGTCTAAGCATTTCTGGTGTTAAATCAAGACATTTGATCCACATTGAATTAGCTTTTGTACAGGGAGAGAAATATGGGCCTAATTTCATTCTTCTGTTGGCACTTGTCCAATTTTGCCAGCTAGCATTATTTCTTGAATTGGATTTTTTAAAAACAAATTTTAACTCTTTTGTCAAAAAATTAGGTGTGCATATCTGTATGAGTTTATATATTGTGCATACATGAGCACATAGTATATGAGTTTATATATAGTGCACATCATGTGAGTTTATATATAGTACGTACATGAGTGCATATCATATGAGTTTATATATAGTGCATGCATGAGTGTATATCGTGAGTTTATATAGAGTGCATAATGAGTCCATATCATGTGAGTTTATATATAGTGCATGCATGAGTGCATATCATATGAGTTTATATGTAGTGCATGCATGAGCGCATATCGTGTGAGTTTATATATGGTACATGTATGAGTGCATATCGTGTGAGTTTACTTCCAGGCCCCTTATGTTCTGTTGCTCTATGTGTCTGCCTTTGGACTGGCACCATGCGATGTTTGTCACTAAGGCTCCGTAGCACAGTTTGAGGTCAGGTAATAAACCTCTAACTGTGTTCTGGTGGCTTAGGATTACTTTGGCTACCTGTAAATTTCTATATGTGTTTCCATGCTAATTTTAAAATGCTTTTAAAGTTCTGTGAAGAATGTCATTGACATTTCCATGAATACTACACTGAATCTCTAAATTTTTTTAGAGAGGATAGCTATTTTCACAAAGTTAATTCTGCCAGTCCAGGAACAAAGGTTTTTTTTTTTTTCCTCAACACCTAATGTCTTCTTCAATTTCTTTTTTCAATGTTTTAAGGTTTTTCATCTTCTTGGTTAGGTTTAGTCCTATATATATTAAATTTTATTCTTAATTGGTTAATTTTATATGTGTGTGTTTTGCCTGCATGTATGTATGTGAACCACATGTTTTGCCTGATACCTGAGGGTCAAAAGAGGACATCTCGTATCCTACCCAAACTAGAGGAATGGTGGGTGCTGGAAACTGAACCCAGATACTGTAAGAGAACAACAGGGCTTGTAACCATTGACCCATCTCTTCAGCCCCATATTCCTAGATATCTTATTATTTTTAGCTATTGTGAATGGGATATTTTATATAATTTGTCAACAAGTTCATTGCTGGTATATAGAAAAGCTACTGGTTTCATTTTCTGTTGGTGGATAAATGCATAAAATATATTTGATTACTAAAGTATAAATCACATATGAGGTTTCATAGCTTCAAAACAGCTATTCTACATGTATAGAAGTTTGTTGAGATGCACAGTGTCTAGGCTTAGTAAATATGGGTATGTAATTTTGAGAAGTTATTATAAATTAATAAAGTTTTGATTTTAAAAAGTATTATGTTCTCTGTCGATGCTTCTTCGTGGCTGGGGGAAACCTCAATGCCTGTTTTGACCTCAGTTTTGTCCATCAGGTTTCTGCCACACATGGCATAAAAAACTTCCTGTCATCTGGCCAGTTCCTCCCTGCCATGGCAGGGATGAGGTCGCTGCAAGTCTGTGAGCATCAGATCCTCTCACTTCTGCCGATCTCCGCAGTCCGTGCAGGTTGCGGTCTGTTATGTCGGGAGGACATATCTTCTGTGTGCTGATGCACTAGGATGGATGCCCTGCGCCACGGGGCATAGTGGGATAGGATGATACTGAGCATCACCGATCTCTTAACCCAGGCTGTGTCTCTGGGGCGCTGTGGCACTGATCCTGCTTGGGGGATCCAAACAGGTTGTGTTTAGTCTTTGGCGAACAGTTCTGCTAGTCCTGAGGTCCTACAATCCAACCACCTGCCCTTCCAAACAATAACAGAGACGACAGAGGAATTTGGGCATTGGCAATCTTCCAGTTTCAGATTCTCCTACACCCTTTACGGTGTGTTTCTGTTGTCTTCTGTGGCTGTGATATTTGTCCTCTGGCTTGGGTTTCCAGTAACACAGATTGTCCACAGGACAATCTTGCACCAGATGCTTTGAGTCTTTCAGGACACTTCTCTGGTAGAATTCTTCTCCACACACACCATTTAGCATGGTATGTGGTCTGTAAAAAAAAAAAAGCCAATGTAGGCTTCCTCCTATTTTCTCTTGTTTCTGCATTGGTGATTTTTACCTTGACTTTCTTTTATTTAAGTGTGTGTGTGTGTGTGTGTGTGTGTGTGTGTGTGTAAATTGTGCAACTAGAAAGGGAGTCATGAGGAGAGGAAGAGTTCTTAAAGTAGGGGTAAAGAGAAAATAATATCATATTTGTGACATGAAAGCATAGCAGGGATACTCTCAGGGGAACAAATAGAGCTGGTCAAAGAAAAGTAGGAAGTAAGGAGAGAATAATAGGAGAAAGAAAGAAATTAGAACAAAGTATGATGACTCCATGAATAGAAAGAAGTTCCATAATCAAGCTCATACATATATTTGCATTCTAACCTCAAAAATTAATAAAACAGGAAACATATGCATGCATACATATATACATACAACACACACACACACGTTTAACAGAATAAAGATGCTACATCCAGGATGCTGATTAGTATCTCTGTACAGTTATGTGACTAATAGGGGGAAAACACAGGACCAGTATGGTTCATGCCACTCAAAATTAATCCTACCAAGCCACTTGCATAATATTTTCATAACTTACTTTTCTTCTTGTATCTTTGGATCAGTAGACTATGCATCCTGCTTTCAAAGACCAGAAGCAAAACAATCCAACTAGTGGACACTGAAGCTGTCCACTGATATAAACAATCCAAGCAGTGGACACTGAAGCTGACCATTGACATAAACAATCCAAGCAGTGGACACTGAAACTTGGACACTGAAGCCGAGCGTTGATATTTAGGCTATAACTCTCAGCAAATTTCTCTGGACTTCTTTACCTACTGGGACAGCTTGGACGAGGGGAAGTGTTACCATACTTTGTGGCAATAAGCTGTGATCATGATGAAGAGTCAGGATGTCAGATAGATACTGGTTCAGGAAGTAGTATATCTGGAGCCCAAGACAGTCACTGTTGAGTTCCACCAGTGGGATTTGGACTGAGTAAGCAATTTTGAGGCATGAAGAAATTCTGTTCACCAGGAATAACAGCTAGAGATATCACATCTGTCAAAAAGCCCAAGTCCACTGGAGTGCTGATGGGAGGAAATAGAGTGGGCAGCAGTGAAAGGAGACTAGTCATAGCAATTACAACCCCAGAGTAGAGGTCATTTACTTTCAACTCTCCTTTACAGTGTTCTTTAAGACTATGATGGATATTATTTTAATCATGATTCTTTCTCACATCCCACCCCTACTTCCTATGACATCCTACAAAATTAGCTACTAGATCTCAACATATCTTCTTAAACTTTGCTGTTATATTAACCCAAACTATGGTGTGCGATAGACTGTCATGTCGAGATAAGGAATCATTCATAGTAAGATAGTCACAATGCTCTATGATGATATTTTCAGTGTCTTACCATTATCAGATATATATTTATTGCTCTTCGTGACTGTTTCTGCTACGCTTGGTGAGGTAACAGCAACATGGCTTTGCATTTCTGAGTTAGAATGAGAAAAAGGATAAGGTTGATGTCAGTCACTAGTACACAATCTTCCCGTCCATAAGAAATCTCCCATTGTTTCATAATTCTATAAGCCATTTTCCCCCTTGGTGTGTAAATACAGAGACTCATGGATTAGTCTTTTACATTACTAAAATATTGGCCATAACATTAACTGATAATATATGCAGGAACATTAGCAAACTGCAACATTGAAGGATTTTATTCTAAGTGCTAGGTTCTCTAACAAAAACTTTTGTAAGCCCTCTCTGTCAGTATATCTTGATTCATAACTCTATCAATAGCCTTGGTGGTGCTAGGATAAATATCTGTGATCTTCTGCATAATACTTATTGGAAGGACAATCCCAGACTCATTAGTTTTTCTTTCTTTCTTTCTTTCTTTCTTTCTTTCTTTCTTTCTTTCTTTCTTTCTTTTTTTTTTTTTTGGTTTTTCAAGACAGAGTTTTTCTGTAGCTTTGGAGCCTGTCCTGGAACTAACTCTTGTAGACCAGGCTGACCTCGAACTCACAGAGATCCACCTGCCTCTGCCTCCCGATTAAAGGCATGTGCCACTACCGCCCGGCCCAAACTCAATTACTTTTTAAGAATATTCTTCATGAAACTGCATAGAATCACTCGGGATACCTGGGAAATGATGACGACAAGTTTCCTCTGCAGTCTTACCTCCCTGACATGATGGCATTGCAGGTTCCCACCTTCCATCCGCTTGACACGAACTCCTCCCATCAGTCGACATAGGGTAAGAGCCTTCAGCACAGATATAGAAAACATAGTCTCCATAGGCATAGAGGCACATGCCGGTTAAGTCTCTCCTTTCACTGACAATCTTGATTTTATTCATATTTGGCGTCGGGCAGCATGCTCCTGAAAGATAAAAGAAAACGCGCATGCTTCATCTTATGGGAAAGACAGCTCTGAAGCTGCGGCTCTATCTCGCGGAAGATATTAATAATCAAACTCCAGGTAACAGGATGAAATGTTGCTTTCAGGGGAGAGGAAAAAATTTTAGTAGGTATAAAGTTTCAGCTGAACAAATTCTAGAAACGTCCAGTGCAAAACAGTAGAGCAATGCAGTTGATGATTGCAACACTACACACTGATCAATGGAGTATATTTAACTTTTAGTGCTGATAACCATGATCCAGAAGAAAAGAGAAAGAAGGGTTGCATCAAGATGGCAGGATAAGTCCTGATTTGATCATTTCCCCTGTTAAAACGTATTGTTGGTTGCTTTTCCATTCCTGGGATGAGATACCATGATGAAGTCAATTTTCAAAAGGAAGAGTCCAGTTGGACTTATGGCCCCATGGGGTTAGAGACTATGATGGCAAAGTTGGGGAGCATGGTGACAGGTGGTTGGAGCAGCAGGTGAGAACTCATACTTTAACTCATTAACAGGAGGCAGAGGGCACACTGGAAATGGTGTGAGTCTTTTGGAACCTCAAAGCCTCCCTCCAGTGATGCACTTCCTTCAACAAAGCCATGCCTCCTCATTGTTCCCAAACAGCTCCACCAACCATGGACCAAGTATTCAGTCCACCACATGTATGCCTGGAACTGCTAGCCAATGTGTTAGGTTCTCTGACAAAAACTTTTGTAAGCCCTCTGTCAGTATATCCTGATCCATAACTCTATCAATAGCTTTGGTGGTGCTCGGAAAAATATCTGTGATCTTCTGCATAATACATATTAGAAAGACAATCCCAAACCCAATTATTATAAAAATACCTTCACAAAAACTTAGGAGAATCTGGCAGGAGGGCAGTGTAATAAGTTTGAGCCTAGTAAAAAGAAAAGGTGTGTTGAAGAAGAAAAGAAAGGGAGAAGGAGTTGCCTGTACCATAGCCACTCACTCCCAGCTCACCCCTAATCCCCCTTCTAAGCACTTCTATAGGGAGAGAGACATCTTTTACTTGGAAGAAAGAGAGGGAACTAGACATACGCCCTACAACCAGTACCAGGTTTACCTCAGTGACCACTACTGGGCAGAGCTCCATGGCCCCTACTTCTAGATCAGCGTCTGTGGACAGAATCTCCACAGACAATAGAAAATCTGAGACCTCTGAAGGACAAACTCCTCCATAAAAATTTTATTTCTGTTGTCTGCCATAGTATGGACCTGAGAACATTCTCTCAGGGCTCTGTTCAGGTATAAACTTCCAGCGTGACCTAGATTAGTATCAGATTTAGTGACCAAGGGGTCATTTTTAATTTTCCTTTCTTAACCTTGGACTATCTTAACCTTCAATAAGAAAAGACTCCCTCTGCTGAGGGCAGGATAAGAAAGTAAGCTCAAAACTCTATTTTATAATTCCTGCTATGCTAAAACCCAATATTGGAAGAATACAATGGGCAGGATCTTTGGTCCATAGTTAGTACCCATAGTTAGGTTCACTGTTGCCAAGGGAATGATTGAAGGCACAAGCAAAGCTTGGGTAGAATGTACAATAGAGCTCATTTCTGTCAGGCTGTGTCCTCTCTGGCCCAAAACGGGCAAGAGCAGGCAGTCTTAGAAGATGGTCCTTGGTCCTGGTCCTGTGCAGTGTTGTGCTGGTCACGACAAGCAATAAAATCCAGGATGATTCAGTGATCCGCTAGACAGGTGACCACAGCACTGTCCACCTCAGGCATAATCTATGGCACCAAATTACAGGCCAGTGGCTGTGAATGAAGATTCTAGGTCTTCCCCAGCCGAAATCAAAGTCTTCAGGACATAACAGGAATGGAATACCTTCCTCAGCACCTTCATCAACCATCCTGAGCTTCAGACTAACTGCAGGTTGTGACAAGTGTGAACTTGGAGCACCCCCAACTGCTAAGACACCGATAGAGACTCAGTCTATGACTATGGCAAACCCTAACTTGGGATGGGAACTAATGTTGACATTTCAGCAGTCACCACCAGCCCAGAGAACATAATAAATGTCTTGAACTTGCTCTGTAGTTCAGGCAGGTCTCAAATTTGTGATCGCTCTGCCTCAGCAGGGAAAATGGTCACATAAGAAATGCTCACACTCGGAGATATGATTCTGAATACATGACCTTGCGAGGATTGAGTCATGAAGAGAGAGAAGACCAGTAAATAATGAGACTGAGCCAGAAATAATGAGACTGAGTTCTCTCCTATGAACGGCATGGACAGTTCCAGGGGTTTTTACTAATATCAGTTCTTGGCTAATGTAGAGGCTAAAACAATAAGAGTTCTTTCAAACTCTTTTTTATAAGATGCTCATTCCAAAGTCAGACGATGACGCACAAAAAAAAAAAGAAAGAAAGTTACAGGATAATGTCCCTGAAAAAAGAGACAAAAATCCTCAATAAGATTCTATCAAGCCAAGTCCAACTGCACCTTGAAAAGACTATTGGCCATAATCTATTGAGAGCTATCCCAGTGATAGAAAGACGGTTTAACACAGAAAAATCAATAATCACAATATACTACATCAATAGAATGAAATAAATAAGCTGGAGTATATAGATGAATTTTTTGATAAAACTAAAAACACTTTCATGCAAATATCTCTGAGAAAAGTAGGTATAAAAACCATATGTCATATGGAATATACCTACAGTCAACAGCATCCTAAGTGGGTAAAGCTGAAAATTTTCTCTATAGGATCCAAAATAAGACAAAACATCCATGTACACCATTTTGAGTCAAGACAGTACTGGAAGACCTAGTCACAGCAAACAAGCAAGTGAAAAATTTATTAAAATGTAAAGTTGTAAGAGGAAGTCATCATCACTGTCCACAGATGATTTCATCGCATTTACAGGAAAATCTCAATGGCTCAATTAGGAAAGCATTAGGAATATTAGTCAAATTGTCATGGTTAGTGTTGTCAACTTGATGGACTCTGGAATCCCCCAGGAGATAAATCTCTGCTCAAACCTTTGAGGGATTATCCAGACAGGGCCAGCCTCTAGGCATGTCTGTGAGAAATGATCTAGATTTGGTTAGCTGAGATGGAAAGACACCCTGTGGATACAGGCAACACCGTTCCCTCCCCTAGGTTCTGGACTGGATAAAAGGGGAACAGGTTAAGCCCCAGCATTCAAGGTTCTCTGGTTCCTGCCTATGCACACAATGTGGCAGCTCCTAGGTCTGTAAGCCAAAACGAACCTTTCTAACCTTATATGTTGCTTTCATGAGGTACTTTGTTTCAGCAATCAGAAAAGAAAATAGTGCAGAAAATTAGTACCAAAAAGTAGGTTCTTTGCGGTTAATGTGAACATATGATTCTTTGGGTTTTGGAACTGGTTTCGAGAGAAATGTGGAAAAGTTTGGAACATTAGACCCAGAGGTCTGCAAACAGAACTCAAAGAATGGTTATGGTGGGGGCTATAAAACCAGAATGTCAAATGCAGACTCTGGAAGCCAGTTTATGAAGTTTCAGAGGAGAATAATTAACAGCTCTATTGGGAACTGGCCAAGAGACCATTTTTTTGCTATTCTGAACAAGAATCTGGCTTCATCCTGCCTGTGTCTTGAGAACCTGAGTGATGCTGAACTCATGAGTAAGCCAACTAATGTCTTTGGTACAGGAAATTGGAAGACTTCCTAATGTTCAATCTACAACATGATTAATTCTCAGCGTTCTTGTTCAGATCTACAACAGAGAGAGACAGAGAGCGGGAAGGAGGGAGGGAGGGAGGGAGGGAGGGAGGGAGGGAGGGAGGGAGGGAGGGAGAGCAAGAGGGGAAAGGAAGAAATTAAAAATATTAAAAAGGAATGTGAAATGTAGCAAGGAAAGTTGCACACACAAGTTTAAAACTGCAGGCAAGGAAAGTGCATAGGACAAAACATCTACAAATGTTTAAAAGAAACACCACTCTTTCCATTGGAATAATAGGATAGGCTCCTTGGAAGCAAGACCACACCCATCAAAGGAATCAATTTGTGAAAATGCAAATGCACGGGAAATGAGGTGGTGAAATCCAACACTGCAGCCTCAGGGGCCCCCCATCTAAACTGACTGCTTAGGAAAGTGGCTGATTTAGCCAACAAAGCAGCAAAACCCACAATAGCTGTGGTCCAAAAGGCCAGGCTCCATCCTTGACTAATAGTAGAACTTAGCAGCAGCATCCACGTGGCATGTGTTTTGAAACATGACAGATGCAAGACTTGTTTAGAAGTTTCAGGGAGTCACTGAGACCAGTCAGTCTGTAACAGGGTTGGAGTCTCTGCAAGGAGTTCACTGAGAGGCCCCTGGGTGAAACGGTGAGGACGAAGCCCCTTGGAGCCCAGATGATTCCTTCAGGAGTCCCAGATGCCAGACACACAGCTGCAAGATTTGGTGTTTTCAATACTGGGTTTCAGTCTCACTTGAATCTAGTAATTCCTTTCGACATCTCTGTTTTTTCCATTTAAAATGGAAATTATTATCATGTGCCATTGACATTAGAACCAAGTCACTTATATCTTACAGGGGCTTGCGGTTAAAAGACTGCCTGCATTCTGGGCGTAGACTTTTATACAGTGTTGAAATTGAAGCTGTCAAAGACGGTGAGACTTTTTTCTTTTACTTTTGAGATTGCACTTACATCATTTCTCCCTTTCCTTTTCTCTCTCCAAACACTCCCATATACCGTTCTTCGCTGTTTTTTTTTTTTTAAATTTGGGGCCTCTTTTGTCATTAATAATTGTTATGTGTGTGTGTGTGTGTGTGTGTGTGTGTGTGTGTGTGTGTGTGGTGTTATCGAGGTTGACCATTTGGTAGTAGATAACCAATCGGTATGTTATGTTCTTTCCTGGAAAAGACTATCTATTCCACTCTCAGCATCCCTTAGTTGCCTGTAGATATTTGTGTAGTGTTGAGACCTCATGGGATTTTCACTGTCCCTTTCAGCATGTCCGTTAGCATTTTCCCTCTTCAGCTCATGTGTAGACAGTCATGCAGGAAAGACTTTACGGGTGTAGCTTCTGACATTCCTAGGAGACACTACCTCACATCACAGTCCCCAATCCTCTTGCTCTTACACTCTTTCCACCCTGTCTTCTTGGCAATGTTCCTGGAGTGTGGGAGTGTTTTATAGATATATCCACTGGGACTGGGCTCAATAACCCTGCATTTTGATTAGCTGTGGTTTTCTATAACTTAAAGTTGGGTTTTGTATTCTGAGGTTACCAAGAACATGCAGGAACAAGAGGTAAAAAGTTATCGGTTAAAATTAATATGCTTTGGTTCCAGAGAGAAAGCTCAGTGAGTGAAGGCACTTGATTGCACAAACCTAATAATCTAAAATTAACCCCTGAGACTCAAGGAAGTCAGTTTTTCTCCTTCACCTTTGTTGGTTCCAGGGTTCAATGCAGATCACCAGGTTTGTGCAGCGAAAGCACACACACTTAGGAAAAGTGTTGAAAAACTGAGGAAAGGAAGCTTCTAGCAAGTAGTCAGGAAAAAAATTCCTTTGAAATAATCATGAGTGTAAACAATAATAAAATTCATGTTAAAAATAAACCAAGATGGAATAAAATTTATATGACCAAAGAAAACAGTTGTCTGCCTAGACTTGTCTGCCCTTAAAACATAACCCCCAATAGTAAGGTGAAGACATAGCAAGAGACAGACAAAGAACATTTCATCACCAGTAGATCCTCACTAAAGGAGACTAGAGTATCCGTTGGGGAAAGGAACATGGCATCATAAGTCTAAAGAATCAGAAGAGATTCAATGGCAGGTATCAATGAGAACAGTTACGTGGCATTTAAAACTTATGTAGAGTTAAAATGTATTTTAAAAATAGCATCTAAATTGAGTAGAAATAAATTAGGTCTCTAAGTCTTTCTATTGCCTTGAAAGAGGTGAAGGCATTATAGCAAAAACTAAAAATGCATGATATAATTTTCATTGTATACTAAAGCAAATAAAAGCTAGGTATGTGTGTGTGTGTCTCTGTCTCTGTGTGTATAGAAAAATAAACAAAGAGAAAGGAAAGAAATTATCAATTCAAAAGAAGTCAAGGAGATAATACAAAAGGCAGAAAACATAGTATACTATGATATGTCATATAATTATATATCATAATTTCAAGTGCAATACTAATTACATTAATTGCACATTCACCTGCTTGAAAAAAATATTTAAAATATTGAACAACAGAAATCTTAAAACTAAGTCATTCGCTACAAATTTAAATAAGCTGTGAGCTGTATTGATATGAAAATATAACTTAAAGACAAAAAGACTACAGCTGTAAAGGGTCATTTCATAATAATAAATGTGAAACACATCAGTAAGATACACCATTTTAAACATGCACACATCTATTAATGTCATCTCAAGATACCAAAAAATGTTTTAAAAATTAAAAGATAAAACATAAACATGTCATCAGTCCTTCAGAGGAAACTGATTTACAGATTTAAATACAGAACACTTAATAATCACAAAATAAGGCATATATTCAAATGTGCACTGAATTTTTATAAAAACTAATCATTTCTTAGGTTCTGAAATGGGCCCCAAGACATTTCAAAGATTGTGCTTAACCCATTCAATAGATAACTTGAAAGACGCGTGCAATGAATGGCTTTTTCTAGTTCGAGGTCACTTACGTTCACAGCCTTTGGAAGGCGTCCACGTCAGATTCTCTTGACATGTCACGATCTGGGGCTCCATGACAACCGGTCGGTAGCCAGGCTTGCACCGGTATTTCAATTTGGTCCCAATCACAAATATTTCAAAATTTCTTAAGGGAAACTTATTGCCCTCCCAGGAAGCATAGGGAATATCTGGTACGTCAGTACAACCATCTGGCCATGAAAAACATTATGAAGAATGTTATTGGAACTGGCATAGAGAGCCATGAGAATGGGATTTAAGATGGCTGTCACAGCTTTACTTAGCAAGAGTAACTTATTGTGACGACCAGCATATGTTTGTGATTCAGAACAAACTTTTTAGGTTTCCCTTTAAACATAATAATTTTATTCAGAACAGTTGTTTACAGTGTATTAAAAGTAACCAGTGTTTAAAGGGTTAACAGACAAAGTTTTCTGCCTTTCTTGGGAAAATTTATGATCTAAAACCTTAGTTAGGGGGAAAATTTATGATCTAAAACCACCTAACAGCTCCCTTACAACTAGAGCTACAAATGTAATTTGAGTATAATTCTCTCTTACCATGTTGACAAACTTTATTTTTAGTATCTCATGATGTTAGCAGGATGTAAGAACAAGGAAATGGTTAGAGAAGGAGCATGGCAAGCCGGTCCTAAGACAGAGGGCTAAGCCAGAATCAGAACACCTAAGCAAAGGGTGGAGGGTCCATGCTGCAGAAACTGAGGCTGAGTTGGCGTTCCTTAGAGGATTAAAGGTCGTTTTGGTTTGGCCATTGTGACCGACAAATACTAGTCTAGGGGATCCGACCCAGTTCAATCAAGAATACTACCTAAGAAATCGCCCAATTTGAAATCTATGGAAAATTGTCTGGGCTTTGTGTCTGTGCTATTTCTAAATGCCACACAAAGGTTATTAATTTTTTTAAAGAGTTGAGCTGTGCCTTCATAATATTTAGGTGAATTTTTATATGTCTTTCCTCGGGGCAAAACACCTGCTGCATAGCCTTTGCCTGGTGGACAGCAGAACGTTTTATTTACAGAATTAATCCTCCCTCAGACATTCATCTATACAACTGTTTACCAAACTTCCTGTATTACTTGGTACAGACAATTAGATTAGGTCTCTTCTACATTTAATTCTAAATACCTGTTTCCTTTGTTGATTACTTCTTTAGGACGTATTGAGTTCTGGGTTATTCTAATTTTAAAATTTCACATATAAAATGTTATTCGAAATGAAGAGGACAAAATAAATCACACCAGATCATAATGATTAATAGATTCATATGATCCAGGAATTTCTTCCTCAATGGTTCTGATATCGTTTCTCTTCCTGAAGACCGTCCTGGTTCCTCAGCCTCAGTCATGAGGATTGGGGTCAGCTCCTGGCCATGTGAGATGTAAGATAATAGTGCTATGCACAGAAAAATGTGATGTCACCAGTAAGAGGCCACATCTGTGCCAAAGCTTCAACAAGCTCTACCTATGCAGGTAGAATGTCTGTGACAGGCATCTATAAGAGTTACAACATTACAGATCCAAAGCCACAGGTATTCTGGGATGAATATTTTAGCGCTTTTAAAAAACATTTGTCAAGCTATTACCTTCCTCTGTGTGTGACAGCATTCTTGTGACTGGGGCTCTAAAACTACTTAATACCATTAACTTTAGACACATCTGGAATGAGCCCAATTATACTAAAGCCTGCCTTTATCCTCCGAAGCCTTCTCAACAGTCTTTCCTAACCTACTTTAAAATATCAAAAATATACCGTTCACCAAACTATGTAGCTCACCTCGACTTATCAAATTCATTTTAAAAATGGATTTCAAAGCTCTTCATAGACCCCCAGACGTGGCACCCTTATGTTCGTGTCCTCTGTAGTCTGCCTGTTGACTCACTCACCCGAACTACTGCTTGACACACTACACAGCCTTGAAAGAATGGGCCATGTCTTCCTGATGCATGAATCTAGTAGATGTCAGTCTCTGCCCCAGAGCCCACCCCCAACTACCAGCTTGATGGAGGAGGCTACACTCCAGGCCTCTCTTTCTAGTCACCTTGAGGAAGCTGGGGACTCAAACTTGATGTTCATTATTCTTCATGTCTTCTCTGATTTCTTTATGTATAAATTCATTCTTTCTGGAAATGTTATCTCATGGCCTGCTCCTGTGATCCCACAGTCTGAGAAATCAGCCTTACCCCTCATCTGCGGCACCTTTCTGCTTAGGAGTTCAGAGACCTTGCTGTGCTATGAGTTTACAACTCCTAATTTTTGGTCCTAAGCAGTGCCTGGCTCCTCCATGCTCCTTGTCATAGAAAGAGTCCCAGCCTAAATCACAAGGTGTACAACTTCCCACAAAACCCCTAGGACTTACAAAAAATGCATCTGTGCCTCACGGTTCCATCCCTCTCCATTGCAGCTCTCTTTCTCCATCCATATCTATCTATCTATCTATCTATCTATCTATCTATCTATCTATCTATCTATCTATCT